CCCAAGCCATTCATACTCATACCATACCGTGCTAAGGCTCAGTAATCTGCAGAGTTTCCTCGCTTCGGAGTCTCGAGCTCTTGAGCTGTACCCGCGTAGTCTTCACCTCTTCATCATATGCCAGCTATCCCCAAAACAGCTACTGAGGTAGCAAGCCCACAGAAAGGTATGGGCTGGATAAGAGCCGCTAGTACGATTGTCATGGGCTGTGTCGGAGTTGGGATCTTGGCACTGCCGCGTACGGCCGCTAACTCCGGTTGGCTCGCTGCCCTGCTTGGTCTAAGTTTTGCCGCACTTGTGAACCTCTACAGCAACATAATTTTGTGGCGTACTCTGTACTTTGCCGCCGAGGGCGAAGGCAGAGTAGTTAGGTCTTATGAAAATGCGATGCGATACACCTATGGCATCGGCGCGTCGATCTATAGCGGGATCATCGTCCACGCCGGACTCATCTCGGTCTGTGTCGCGATGCTTATTTTGATGGGAAACACCACTGCGGCTATGACTCGAGTCCTCGATAGGCGTGTTTGGATCGCGCTGTGGACCCTTGTGGGTATACCTTTCTCGTGGATAAAGGAGGTTAGAGACGTTGGCTTCATCGCGGTCTTGGGTGTAACGTCTGCTTCTGCGATGGTGATTATTATTATTGTTGCATCGGCTGACAGAATGGCCTCTGATGGCATTCCTGCAAACCTCGCAGTCGTGCCCAGCGATGTTGTGGAGTTTATAGCCTCTTTGGCCTCTTACTTTTTCGTCTATAGTTTCACCGGGGCGACACCCACCATCTGCTACCATATGACTAAGCCTGGGAATTTCCCCAAAACGGTGGTGGCCGCTACCATTTTCATCACATTATTATACTCATCTGTAATGGAGCTAGGATACGTAGGTTATGGTCAATTTCTAACGACAGTCGATACAATTGTGAATGCAATTTCCCCACCTGGACAGACACTCGACGTATTCGGGTGGCTCATCAATATTGCGATTCTTGCAGTCATGGTGCCGCACTATCTGGTCTTATTCACACCGACAGCCAAACAAATCGACGCAATGTGTTCCCACATCGGTGAAAGGAAGGGGTGGTCTGTTGGTCGGTGCAAAATTGCGGCGCTTATATGTCGAACTTCTCTTGTGATCCTCGAAGGAGGTCTCGCCATAGTGATTCCCAGGGTCAGCAGCATTGTCAGTCTCATAGGTGCTTTTTGTTCGACGCAGGTTACAACTCTCTTCCCCATAGCTTGCTTCATGAAGGCAAAGAGACAGCACCACTTGCCCTGGCCTGTATGGGAGATACTCCTCCACTTCGTCTTGGCTATGGTCGCCTTTGTTGTGATGGGAATCGGGATATACGGTGCCATTATTGACTTCTGAGAGTCCATGAACGAAAGTCACGGGTAATTACTTCATCACTCTAGAAAAGGGCTTCTACTATCTACCATGCAGCTGGTGATTGACTCGTCCAGATGACTTCAGCTTTTCTTGACTGAGGAATTATGCTACGATTGTCAAGCGCCCAGTGAGTCGATGCTGTTGTATACATACATATGGAGGATGAACTT